TGTGTTTTTTAAACTTTAAACCACATAAACACATTTCATTACACCAAATACACAAAATAATGTTCTTTTTATCAGCATCATATGACCCCTTTAATAGAAGTCGCAGGGCAGCGTTGACAACAAGCTTCTGTGCTCCTGAATGTTTCTTTGTGTGCGCAGCGTGATCTCCAATCTCTGTGTGCGAGTGATGTGTGTGTGTGTGCGTCAATTAAAGCAGCGCATTAATATAGAACAGTGATTAAACTGAACGTTTTTAATTCACAATTGGCCTTGTCACACACATAAAGTGGTGTTCAGTAGGTCACTGTAAATCTGTTATTCATTCAAATAAAGAAACTTTTAGGATTTTGAAAAGTTAAAAAACAATTTACAAGAAAAAACATGATTCTGCACCTGTTCAGTACAGATTTTTATCTGAACATTTAAAAATCTTTATGTACTACATATACAAATACAGCATGCATTAAAAAAGGTGAAGGTGAAGTATAATCTGTTCTGTTATTGGATGAATTTTATAATTATAACAATTATTTTAATTATACAATTTGTATAATTAAAATAGAATAAATTGATATTTTATTAATAATTAATGTTTTTATAATAAATTGTAATAAAAAGATACTTTAAAATAAAATATAATAGATAAAATATAATAAATAGTTATTTTAATTATTTAGAACTATTAATTAATATAAAATTATTATCATATGCAATTAATGTGCAATTATTATTTGTTTAAATTTAATGTGTTTGTGAGTTTTTAATTTAATACAATTTTTAGATTTTTGGGAAGATTTTTCAGTTTAACTCACTGTCTCTGCTTGTATGGGCATCTTTAAAGGGGCACCAAGCAATAAAATCACAAATATCAGTGCTTTCATTGCTTAATGATTGCTTAGTGAGTTACAGGCATTCTTCTGTACAATTGCACAGGGATGTGCTTTCTAATCAATGTATTTTTAACCTGATACAAGTCATTCTATGATTGCTTGCCACATTCTCTGCTGCTATAAAGTTGAAACTGGTTGTGATGCCAATGCATTACTGTGATTTCATTACTGGGATACAGCAGGTCAGAAACAGCACTGTCATCCTGCCAATGGAATCCATTATTATAAGTAATGCAATGGGCCAAAGGACCATGATTCTTCTAAGTGAATCAGATGAGGCGAATCCAAATAGTCAGCTGTTTCCTTTCACCGAACATAAAGAAAAAACAATAAAAACTGTAATAATAGATCTAGATCTCCACTTGCTGACAAAGGCTGGTGTAGTTTGAAGAGTGGGATGCTGGGAAGGATGTGATGGTTTAACCATAGCTTACTGTCAGCATGTATCATGCTCCCTCTCACCTGCCACGCAGCAATATGGAGGTGGAGGAGATGGACGCAGGTAAGTGAGGTGAGAGAAACCGTACCGCTTAATGATGAGCCTCAGTTATCATCAAGCCAGCCAGAGACTAATATCATTACACTTCAGACTTGCATCACACTTAGTTTCCTTCATGGTCACTGCCTGATAAGATTACTGTCTTTCACTTCAAAACAATAACATACAAGAGGGTTCCCGGTGAATTTTCATAACTTTTCCAGTCATTTGTGATTGCTGGATAATAATTTTACAATAAGGATCATTAGTTAACATGAACTAAGAATGAATAATACTTCTACAGCATTTATTCATCTTAGTTCATGTTAATTTCAACATTTACTAATGCATTATTAAAATCAAAAGTTGTGCTTGTTAGTTAATTAGTTAATGCACTGTGAATTAACAAAAAACTAACAATGGACAACTGTATTTTCATTCATTAACATTAACAAAGATGAATAAATAATGTAATAAATGTATTGTTCATTGTTCATTCATGTTAGTTAATACATTAACTAATGGAACCTTATTGTAAAGTGTTACCAATGGTTTTGATTCAGACTGATTTGCTAATGAATGTTTCTGTTCATTTTCTGCACCGGTCTAAATAATGATTCACTGAAAAGAACTGACTCAAACTAATGATTTGCTCACAAATTATTGCTTGCACAATATATCGATACTACTGTTCAAAAGTTTGTGGTCAGCAGAATTTTTTTCACACAATCCAAAAAAATAAAAAAATTTAAATAAATAATAGATATTTATAACGTTGCAAAAATAATAAAGAAATAAATAAATGTTGTTCTTTTAAATGTTCTATTCATCAAATAATTCTGAAAATGTATCACAAAAATATTAAGCAGCACAATTGTTTTTAAAAATTCAGCTTTGTCATTCAGCTATTTAATTAAAATATTAAATATTATTTTTAAATATATGAATACATATAAAAAGGTTGTTTTTTTGTTTAACTGTAATAAAATTCCACAATTTTACTGTTTTACTGCATTATGAATTAAGCTTTGGCTTCTTTCAAAAACAAACAAAAAACATTTCGTACTGACCCCATACTTTTGAACGGCAGTGTAGCTGATTAAATATTTAGAGCTATGCATGCAAAAATATATATTTACTAAAATAAATCAATAAAAATTAATAATAAAATGCATAATTTCCAAGTCTGAAAAACTACATTTTAAATTCCATGAAATTTCCAGGTTGTTGATAAAAGCATTG